TTTCCATGAGAGAATGAGTAGACTTACATTCCTTGAAAGTTAGAAGAATTAAATGAGAAGAAGTCTAACGGAAACAGAAAATTCTTGCAGGGTTGGGCATGATTGAAGCAAAGAAATCATTTTCCTTGGCTGGGGCATTTAGAGTATAATATGAGAATCTCACAATAAGTCAGTAATTTAGGATACAATGAGAAGAAATTTGCCAAAAAGAGTTTGCATCTTGGAATTTTCTACCACTGAGAATTGTGAAAGTTCAAAACAGAGACAACAGATTTTTGTAGCTACTAAGGGAGTTAGACATTTATGGGGATAGTGCAGATAGGCAGACTTAAGGTAGATCAGATTTTGTCAAATACTGGAAAGGATCATGGTAGCATCCTCCAAAACACGTTTCTTCAAAAGATACAACAAATAGTTAAGAAAATAAAGAGGCAATAACCTCCAGAGGCACCAACAAATTGACACATGCAAATTTATGTCAGCCACAGCACCAAATATGTCGGCGTGGAGCAAATAGCCACGTGGATCAGCACACTATCTCCAGTGCGAAGAAATTGTCATCCATACTGTAAGATCCTTCTGCTTGGAAAGAGATCATGTGTCAAACTTTTCAAAATATGTGGAAATGACAAGAACTTGATTCTATTCCTTAAAGTTCAGAGCAGGTTTGAAACTTTTTCTATGTAACCATCCCTACTTTCACTCTTCTATAAGGTACTGATAAAGTAATAGCAAGATCAAATTTGTACATGCTGATTATTTTGCACCAGTAAAATAGAAATTGTCCTGAGATTTGACAGACATCTTTATGTTAACGAGTGAATGCAAGGAAAAGTGATTTCCATTATTTGATCCCACAAACAATATGGGTTACAGACATACTACATCGTGTGAGGAAAACATTGCGAGGAGAAATGTGCAAATGAATGCTTTACACAGATTGTGGTAATCTGATATTTGTGCCTATAAATTGTTTGATGGTGAGTCACTGAATTGCTTCAATTAGATGAATGTTAGGTAAAGACGTGAAGAAAGTAAATTTGCAGAGCTATGGGCTTAAATAAGGAAATGGTTCTGAAATGATTCATGCACTTTGAACCTACATGAAGTCCATGGATGGATTGCTCTCAGTGATGCAGTGAATCTATAACAAAAACAAAGTTGCTGGAAAAGCTCAGCAGGTCTGGCAGCATCTGTGAAGGAAAATAAATGAGTTAACATTTCAGGTCCAGTGACCCTTCCTCAGAACTGACGGTGGCTGGGAAAACATCAGATTATATGCAGAAAATGGAGAGGTGGGTGGGGTAGGGAGTAAACGATAGGATAGAGCCCAAAGGGAGAGAAAGACAGTTGGACAGACAAAGGAGTTGTAACGATCAGGCTGGGAGGGTGAATCATTGTTAATGGGGACCGTTAGTGACTAACAACAGGGGGTGTGTAATGGCAGGCTATGTGGTAACAAGGCCCGGCGTGTGGGGTAGGGGGCTGGGACATGGGAGAGTTTAGGCCCTAAAATTATTGAACTCAATATTGAGTCTGGAAGGGTCTTTAGGGTCCCCAAGTGGAAAATGAGATGTTGTTCCTCCAGCTTGCGCCGGGCTTCGCTGGAGCACGAAGCAAGCCAGAGACAGAGATATTGGCCAGGGAGCATGGTGGTGCAGTGAAGTGGCAGGCAACAGGTAGTTCAGGGTCTTTTCTGCGAGCAGAACGCAGATGTTCTGCAAAGCGGTTGCCAAGTCTACGCTTCGTTTCCCCAATGTAGAGAAGACCACACTGTGAGCAGCCAACGCAGTAGACTAGATTCTGGGAAGTGCAGGTGAAGTGTTGCTTCATCTGGAAGGTATGTTTGGGCCCTTGGATACTGGGGAGGGAGGAGGTAAATGGGCAGCTGTTGCATTTTGCCAGTTACAGGCCTGTGGGGAGGTGGTGGGAGTGAAGGAATTGTGGACCAGGGTGTCCCGGAGGGAACAGTCCCTGCGGAAGGTGGACAAGAGAGGGGAGGAGAATATGTGTATGGTGGTGGCGTCTCGCTGGAGGTGGCAGAAATGGCTTCTGATGATCCTCTGGTTGTGGATGCTGGTGGGATGGTAGGTAAGGACAAGGGGAACCATATCACTATTGCGGGAGGGAAGAGAAGGGGTGATGGCGGAAGTGTGGGAGATGGGTCGAACCCGGTCAAGGGCCCTGTCGACAATGGATCTGGGGAATTCTCGGTTGAGGAAGAAGGTGGACATTTCGGAGGCTCCCGTGTCGAAGTTGGTCTCATCTGAACATATGCGACGGAGATGGAGGAACTGAGAGAACAAGATGGAGTCTTTACAGTAAGTGGGATGTGAGGATGTATAGTCCAGGCAGCTGCCGGAGTCAGTAGATAGAAATTCTATCACTGACTCCTCCCTTCCCTTGCTAGACATTTCTCTTTCCATTTCTGGGGATAGACTGGCCACTAATATCCACTACAAACCCACTGACTCCCACAGCTACAATATTGAGTTCAATAATTTTCAGGCCTAAACTGTCCCATGTCCCAGCCCCCTACTCCACACACTAGGCCTTGTTACCACATAGTCTGCCATTACACACCCACTGTTGTTAGTCACTAACAGTCCCTATTAACAACTATTCACCCTCCCAGCCTGATCGTTAGCAACTCTTTTGTCTGTCCAACTGTCATTCTCCCCTTTGGGTTCTATCCTATCGTTTGCTCCCTACCCCACCCACCTCTCCATTTTCTGCATATAAACTGACGTTTTCCCATCCACCATCAGTTCTGAGGAAGTGTCACTGGACACGAAACGTTAACTCTGTTTTTTCCTTCACAGATGCTGCCAGACCTGCTGAGCTTTTCCAGCAACTTTGTTTTTGTTCCTGATTTACAGCATCTGCAGGTCTTTCGGTTTTTATACTGTCATTCTATGATGTATCTTAATAATTAATGAAGTCAGTGAACAACATGGGATGTTACCAATCTTCAAGGATTCTGAGGCCTTGTTTTTGATACCTATACGTTCCAATTAAGGATTTGAAAACGCGTTCCAAATTAGAGATGCCAAATCTATCGTTTTCATGTTTGAACTTTTTGGGACATCACAATATTTTCTGACTAAATTAGCAAATTTTGTCATTTCTGCTTATTTACGATGGAAGAGAATATTAAAATGCAAAATGAAAACACATGTATATTGTGCTAAATACATCAACACGTGTACATATGTCTAAATGGACCATGAGTTCTTTACGTTAACATTGTCACTAATGCTGGAAACAAGCAACAACTCAGTCAAATTTCCACAATGCATGCTGTTAAGAGTATTGGTGGAATGAAAATTAAATGACAACTTAACTGATGAAGCCTCGTTTCTACTGTGAAACACATTTTATTCGGATGTTCAGAAGCATAATATTTCTGCTCATCTGTTGGACTGATTATCTGCAGGTCTCTGCTTATGTTACCCAAATGTACATCGATATGCATACAACATCTACGTACCCACCATCACATTTTTAAATTATAAATATTACGTATTGGATGAAATAGATCTGATGCTTCATTTAAAGTCAAACATAATGAATGAATGCACTGCAAAACAAAAAAACAAATTCACATCTTTTGTTTTTTATACATGGCGCCACAAAAGCAAATTCAGGAATCTTGCACCATAATTATATGAATGGAGATGCAGAATCACACTGCTTGCAATGTTTGAGTAGCATAAATTTTTTTCTCCTTATTATTTCAACATGTAACATCATTGCAAAGTATTCTTGATAGCTAGCAGTAATTATGACTTCTGATAACTTCTTTGTTTATCTGCCTGTAACTAATTCAATTATTTTGTAATTCTCGATGTCACTTGAGGGTTTCCTCTGATATAAATGTGGCAGTTACTTTCAATTAGAAATGTTGCTTGCACAGAGAAACAATATCAATCTCGTCTGAATATGAGTCAACCAGTAATCATACAGATAGAAAACATTTACTATCCCATCCTTGCAATCGTTGGTGTTCCTGGTAAGAATAATTTACTCTGTGAATTTGTTTAATCAGTTACTATTCAAGGTGAATATTTTCACTGTTTGACATTCCTTCTCTTGGATTTATGATTGTATTTTTATATTCTGATGTGCTTGACTTACAAATTATAATTTAATCTTTAACTATTTCCAAGCATAGGTCCACTGCTTGTTGGTTCTAATTCAATGTTTATCTAATCGCACGAGAAGAAATACAATTTACGCTGTCCATCAAATTTCCGAAAGTTAGTGCACATATTTGAAGCATGAAGGATATTCTTCTACATTATTATTAGGAAATTATGGTAGAAATCTTATTTTTTTATTATACTATTACAAGATAGACAAATTTTCTCCCTCCCACTATTGGGTTCCTCCTGGTTCCTCACAGCTGGCAGTATGAGCTCATCTCCAGATTGTGGACACAATGCTAATACTTCTGCTGCATTGCAGCTGCCTTAACATTATATCTCTTGTTTGATAAACTTTTGCTTTAACATCAAAGAGAAACCCAGCTGACATCTGGTAGAGTTACGTGATGCAATTGAAGTTCTTGCTGAATATGGGCTCTAACTGAAGACTGGCCTAGATTTGTTTTCTTCACAACCTACAGGTTGGAATCAAATTAGGGAACAATGTAAGTGTAGTAGTGTTTTCACAACATGGTCTGTCATTTCACTATCGCCATCTGGTTTCTAAAAATAGTTCCATGTCAATGGAATTAATATTCGTAATCGGTAACTGGCTGATTACATTGCATTACATTGAAGACAACCTGTCTCATCAAGTTAACAATAAAAATAGTGGAAGTGAGCAAAAACACGTCCCATTACTTCTGGTCTCCTGTAATTTTAAACAATGGGAACTTCACTTACATATCAACATAACACCGGGCAATAATGAATTGTACTACAATGCTTACACGATGGAATTACGTATAACAACAGATATTTCTACATTCAATCACATGGAATTCCAATTTAATGTATCTAGTTGGTTCCATGTCAGAGAATAATTATTCTTTATGTGATACTTTTATTACAAATCAATCGAAATACACAACTTGCAATATATCTGGAGGAATTTTTGTACAACCAGTTAGCATGGGTTACCTGTGCAAGTCTCAGCATCAATCAACAGAAAGAAATCTCAAGGATGGCATCCATTCCAAGGTCTGTTCACCCTCCTGTAAATTCAGTTCCAATTGTTTAAGCTAGGTGTTAATACAAACTAAATAGCAATTTGGGAAGTCTCAGAAAAGTCTATCCTCCTCGTGTTTACACAAACAAGACTTGAAAACTTTATATTTAGTTGTCCATCTGACCATCTGAATTCCCTGTGTTAGTGAAAACATTGCGAATGCATCTTAAAATATTTGCATTTGAGTGACAGCAGTAATGACAAATTTGATTAATAATCGCGATGTATTAAATAGTCTCTTGGCCTCGGTCATATACAACTTCTCGGTTGCCAATTTAATGTATAGGGTATAAATAAACAACGCCAGTCAGCCATAGATGAAATCCAGTCCAGTGCTAGAACGCAATTTTTTTAGAAATTACATTATAGCTGAGATATCATTTTAGCCCCTCATATTAACATTATAATCTGTACTCTTGATAGGAAAATTCATCTGCTTCCTTCAACTGACACAATAATTGTCAAACAACCTTCGTGCCACACAAGTGACAGGCAAGGGCAAATACAACAAGAAATGAATTAATAGTAGCACTTTGATATTCAATCACATTGCCATTGTTACATATTTTGCTATCCTCGAACTGGGGGATACCATTGAACAAAACATAACCTAGATCATCTACGCATGTCCTCTTGCTGTGTACGTTCTGCGGCTAAGCATTATGTGGCCGTAATCGATATTTTAGCTTCCCTATGACTGTAGCATCATCTACAATGCACAATCAGAAGTGTAAATTCAAGTCACTATGTTTTGTGCATGCCCAATATTCCATCATCAGCATGCATTGCCTTCCGACCAATGAAAACAGCAAAGGCAATGTGTGCTATCTACAAGAAATGCAGCAACAAAACAATATGTATCCTTCAACAGAATGTTACTAGCCTATGATAACTACCATGTAGAATGATAACTATAACAAGTCACCAAAATATTAAATACCTGTAAGAGTCCCTCCAAACAGCAAGTCACCTAAATCTGGGTTTGTTTCACTTCCTGGCATAGTCTATCCTTCAAAACACCATCTCCCTTCCCAAAAGCAATTGTGGGTGTTCTAACACAAAAGTTAACAGCATTGGTTCATGATGTCAGATCATTATTATTTTCTCAAGACTAATGATGAATTATTCAATGAATACTGCTGTGATCATAGAACATAGAACATTACAGTGCAGTATAGGCCCTTCAGCCCTCGATGTTGCGCCGACCTGTAAAACCAATCTGAAACCCATCTAACCTAAACTATTCCATTATCATCCATATGTTTATCCAATGACCATTTAGATGCCCTTAAAGTTGGCGAGTCCACTACTTTTGCAGGCAGGGCATTCCATGCCCTTACTACTCTCTGAGTAAAGAACCTACCTCTGACATCTGTCCTATATCTATCACCCCTCAATTTAAAGCTATATAGTTGTCTGCATCTTCTTCATCAGTAAAAAGTTTCAAATAGGATTGGTAATCTATCTGAGGAAATGCACATTGTAATTTACTTCCATCTTTCCCCAGCTAACTTGGTGACAATCCTCATTCTCTTACGTGGAAGGTGCGGTCTCACAAAATGTATCACCCATTACCTGCTGGCTATGGCAATTGCTGATTTAATGGTCCTGATATTCGAAGTGATTCTGTATGAAATTAATGATGCTTACTTTTCACATTCGTTCCTTAACTACACTCCAATTTGTAGTCTCAATCTCGTCCTGTTGTTTGTTTCAATTGATTTATCTGTATGGTTCACTGTAGCTTTCAGCTTTGATCGATTCATTGCCATTTGTCATCAAACATTACGAATGAAATATTGCACCAAGAAATGTTGTAATGTGGTATTAGCAGTGATCTGTTTATTTGGCATCTTGCAAAATATTCCAACTTATTTTATTTATGAACCTCGGGAAATAATTGACAACATACCATGGTCATGTTATACGAAACCAAGCTTCTACACCTTAACTATGTTTATAGTACATTTTTGGCTTGATACTATATTAACACCATTTTTACCATTTATTTTGATCCTGCTGTTTAATGCCTTGACCATCAGACATATTTTAGTTGCCAATCGAATAAGGATTGGACTACGAAGTAACAAGTGCTCTGAAAATCATTCTGATCCAGAGATAAAGGTCAGAAGGAAATCCATTATTTTATTATTAGTTATATCAGGCACTTTCATACTTTTGTGGATGGTGAATTTCATCTTTTTCATAAGTGTCCATTTCATAAACGCTCAATTTTTAGAAGCTAGTTACGATGATCCTGCCACCATTGCAGAACAATCTGGATATATGCTCAGATGTTTGAGTTCTTGTACAAACACTTTTATTTATGCAGCTTCCCAGAGACAATTTAGAGATGAGCTAATGCATGTAGTTAGATATCCCTTTACTTGTATCATTGGCGTAGTCAAATGATTTATATGGCTTTCCAGAATTAAAATTGATCTATCCGAATAGAATAGAATTTGTTCAACTTACACAGACATAAACAAAATGAGCAGTGCTCAGTTTTACTCATTTTACATTAAATCTTTGAGATGGAACGGAAACGGATAAAAAAAAAAGCATTCTTGTTCCTCCCTCATTTCCTAACATCCATTTTAAGGTATAAATACCGTAATGTTGAAGATATTTGAAATCTGATCAACCACTTTCCATTATTGTAAGAAAGATAAAACGGCATATTCTAGCACTTTCATCTTCAATTTATTAACACAGCACTTCACAACTGTGTTAGTAAACAGAAAGAAAAATGCATCAGAAATTATCCATGGATATTACCTAAGATGTCCAGATGCTTGGTTCGCCCTGGAAAGTCAAGGTGTGATGGCAAAGGGAACAATTCTTAAAGTTATGAATGCTCAGCAGGCCAGTCTGAGATGGTCAAGGATCGCTAGGATTACTGTACAACTGAAACCAAATGCATGGATCGATTGGGCATGAAAATGTAACTCGAGGTCAGGTTTTTAATGTTGACGCATTGTTTAACTAAATGTTCTGAAGTATCCCACCCGAATGCATCACGAATGTCAGATTATGTATAAAATATATGAACTATACATACAATATGATAAAAAACGTCATTACTTTATTTTTCTCATTGTTGGTTTGGAACTGTGGACCGAAGCCGAGAATTAAACTACTAATAGCTGCTTGACGTCTTCTGTTTGCAAAAGAACAAATAAATTGATATTGTTCGCTGAAACGAAATTGATTACAGGTTAGTTATTGTTCTGAGATCGCAGCAGGCGCTTTGTCACCAAAATATGTTATGCTCAACGACTGTACTGGTTTGATGTTTAATTTGTTAAACAAAGATAGAATGACACTAGCGAGATAATCACAGAAAACGTTGAAAAACAAAGAAAAAACATACGTTAAACATATTTGATATGGGTCTTGGGTATAAGCAGGAGGGCGTTGCGAGCCGCTGGATTGGAGATGCTTTGCATTTCATTCTCTCTACTTTTATACTTCTTAAAAATTGCTAAGGTATTGAGAGAAGAACCCCAACATATAAGACATCAAGTAAGAATTTACGGTAGTTTGCAGAAGTTACTTGCATAAACCAGTGACTTCGGAATTCAAGCAATATTTAATTGTATGCACCTAGAATACAACACATTGTTCAAGGATTCCTGAAGGGCCTAGGAGCCATTGTGAAACCGCTGAACTGGAAAATTGCAGTTCTTTATTTTTCTTTCAATCAATAACTTAACTTTGCTTGTCTGTCTCTATGTGAGTGAGTGCATGTGCACAAGTGTGTATGAGAGAATGGGTGTAGTGTTTAAAGAAGATTGGACAAGGACCATAGATATTAAGTTGATGTGAGGAATTAATAGGCCTGAGGTATAGGGAGAGGTTGGCCAGGATATGACTTTATTCCTTGGAACCTGGGAGAATGATGGGTGGCCTAACTGATGTGTATAAAGTCATGAGGGGCATAAATAGGATGAATGCATATCGTCTTTTTATCCCCCAGAGATGGGGAATTGAAAACTGGAGGGCATAGGTTTAAGGTGAGAAGGGAAAGATATAAATTGGACCTGAGGGACAACTTCTTCATGCAGAAAGTGCTGCATATATGGAATGAGCTGCTGGAGAAAGTGGTTGAGGCAGGTACAATAGCAACATTTAAAAAAATTTAGATAGGTATGGATGGGAAGGGTTTAGAGGGATATGGACAAAATGCAGGCAATTGGAACTAGCTGAGTGAACACCATGTCAGCAGTTTGGGCTGAAGGGCCTGCTTTCACACGTATTCCTCTCTGAATCTCTGACTTTAAGTAGATTGCTTTGTCATTTATCAATTTTCTGCTTAAGTTATGATATTAAAAACAAACTGTTAAGTTTTTTTGATGTATAAATTTGGTGTCTGATATCTGTTATTTGTAAAGTCAGAATGGGAACAATTTGGTGATTTTGAAGGTCATTCAATATTTTAATTTTTATTGTTTGTAAATCCAGGAATCAGAAAGCTGATTTAGTTTGCCTGCTGTCTAGCCTCTAACATGCTTCGATTGGACTGCATTTGCTGTTGAACTGTGTATGTTAGCTGGCAAATTGATTCTCCCCAGTCCTTGTGGATACACTGTAAAACCATAAGGCATAGGATCAGAAATTAGGCCATTCAACCCATTAAGTCTGCTCCATTATTCAATCATAACCGATAGGTTTCTCAACCTTATTCTCCCACTTTCTCCCTGCAACCTTTGATCCCCTTGACTATCAAAAGGTTATCTATCTCTGTCTGAAATATACTCAATGACTTGGCTTCCACAGCCTTCTGTGACAATGAATTCCACTCTCTGGCGTAAGAAGTTTCTCCTCATCTCCGTTTAAAATATCTTCCCTTTACTGTAAGGCTGTGCCCTTGAGTCCTCCTTCTATTGGAAGTGGTGTTGGGTCACTTGAAGAATATTAAGGTGAATAAATCCTTAGGGCCCAATGGTATCTATCCCGGGTAACTGAGCGAGGCAAAAGAGGAGATTGCTGAGGCCTTCACCATTGAATTATTGCTAGCCATTGGAGAGGTTCATGAGAACTGGCGAGTAGCTAAGATTGTTCCTCTGTTCAAGAACGTAAATAGGGATAATCCAGGAAAGAACAGACCAGTGAGTCTCACATCGGTGGTTGGGAAGCCATTGGAGAGAATTCTTAGGAATAGGATTGACAGACATTTGGAAAAAGCATGGTCTAACTAGAGACAGTCAGCATGGCCGTGTGCAGGGCATGCCATGTTTTACTAACTTGACTAAATTTTTTGAGGAGGTGACAAAGGTGATCAATGAGGTTAGGGCAGTAGATGTTGTTTACATGGATTTTAGTAAGTCTTTCGACAGGGTTCTTCATGGTAGGCTCATCCAGAAGATGCATGGGATCTGTGGTGATGTAGAAACGTGGATTCAGAATTGGCTTGCCCATTGAAGACAGACGGTATTGGTGGATGGATGCTTTTCAGGTTGGAGTTCCATGACTAGTCAGAATTTGTACTGGGACTTCTGCTTTTTGTAATATATAACAATGACTGAGATGGAAATGTAGATGGGTCAGTTCATAAGTGTGCAGACGATAAACCAATCAGTGGAATTGTGGGTAGTCCAGAATTTTGTCAAAAGGTACAGCAGTATATGGGTCAGTTGCAGATGTGGGTGGAGAAATGGCAGATGGAATTTAATCCCGGTAAGTGTGAGGTGCTGCACTTTGGGAGATCAAATATACAGTAAGTGCCAGATGCCTGAGGAACACTGATGCACAGAAGGATCTTCAGGTTCAAGTCCGTAGCTCCCTGAAAGTAACCATGCAAATAGATAAGGCCATAAAGAAAGTGTACGCATGCTTGCCGTTATTGGTCGGGGAATTGAGTACAACGGTTAGGATGTCATGTTGTAGCTTTATAAGACTTTGTTTAAGCCACATGTAGAGTATTGCTTTCAGTTCTGGTGCAGCGTGGCAAAGTGGCTCAGTGGTTAGTATTCCACCCTTGGGCGACTGTCTGAGTGGCGTTTGTACATTCTCCCTGTGTCTGTGTGGGGTTGCTCTGGTTTCCTTCCACAGTCCAAACATGTACAGGCTAGGTGAATTGGCCATGCTAAATTGCCAATAGTGTTCAGAGATGTGTAGATTAGGTGGGTTTATAGGGGAATGGGACTGGGTGGGATGCTCTGTGGGTCAGTGTAGACTTGTTGGGCCAAAGAGCCTGTTTCCACACTGTAGGGATTCTATTCTATGGTATTACAAGAAGTGTGTAGATACTTTAGAGAGGGTGCAGAAGATGTTTACTAAGATGCTGCTTGGATCAGAGGGTATGAGCTATAAAGGAGAAGGTAGAAAAACTCAGGTTGTTTTCTCTTGAGCAGCATAGGCTGAGGGAAGACTTGATAGATATCTATAAAATTATGAGATGCCACTAACGCCTCCACTATCTATTCATTTATCTTTTTCAGAACTTTTGGGTGTAGTCCATCTGGTCCAGGTGATCTATACGCTGTCAGACCTTTCAGTTGTTCCAGCACCTTTTCTTTGGTGAAGGACACAATTGTCACCCCTGCACCCTCCTCTCTTGAATTTTTGGGATGTTACTTGTGCCATGCCCTGCAAAGACTGACACAAAGTACTTTGTCAGTTCCTCTGCCATTTCATTGCTCCTCATTACTACTCCTGCATCATTTTCCAGTGGTCCAATATCCATATTTGCCTCTCTTTCACCCTTTCTATATCTAAATAAACTCTTGCAATCATCGTTTGTATTACTGACCAGTTTACCCTAATTTTTGATCTTCTCCCTCCTTATTTATTTTTAGTTGTCCTCCATTGCTTTGTATGCTTACCAATCATGTGCTCTCCCACTGCTCTTCACCACATTATATGCTTCCTCTTTTGCTTTTATGCTGTCCCTGACTCCCTTGTTAGCCATGGTTGCTTCATCCTCTATTTAGCATGCTCCTTTTTTCCTGGAGATGAATTTATGCTGTGGCTCCTGAATTACTCCCTGAAACTCCTGCTATTGCTGTTCCATTGCCTTTCCTGCAAGGCTCCTCGCCCAGTTATTCTGGTCAGCTTCCCCCTTCATGCCTCTGCAGTTACCTTCATTCAACTGTAATATCGTTACATCTGATTTCAGCTTCTCCCTCTCAAATTGCAGAGTAAATTCTATCATATTATGGTCTACGCCTCTTATGGGTTCTTCTTCAAACCTGCCTCATTGATCATCACTAAATCCAGGATTGCCTGCTCCCTAGTGGGCTCCAACACAAGTTGTTTCAAAAAGCCAACTCGTAGACATTCCATAAATTCCTTTTCTTGGGATCAAGTACCAAAGTGACTTTCTCAGTCTACCTGTATATTGAAATCTCCCATGATCACCTTGT